ATAAAAAGTTAATTAGATTAATAAATAATAATAATACAACCTCGTAGGCCAGTAATGTGATAGTGAAGTGCCCCGATTTCCCTGCCCCCAAGCCCGCACTCGTTTCTGGTAATATCTTGCATAACTCTCCTCTCCCCACTTCCCAAATGCATGGCTTTCCAACAACGATGATGATGACCAACGTGTTTTGCTGCCCCTGAAATAAAATATCCTTCTTGCAGATGCCTAGCAGCCTTCTTGTGGTTTATGTCAATTTGTTTATTCTTAGGGACTCTGCAATGGCATCCATTACGGAACGGGCTCAACGAATGGAAAAAGAACTTCGAGAAACCGCAGCTAAACACGACAGAGCAGCTGCTGAACTACAGGTAAGCCTTGTGCATCAGCGTGTTTTTGGTGTGCACGTGAAGTGCGTGCCCACGAAAGCCAGTGGAGTAGGATAGACTCTAATCGCAACATACTGCTTCGACATCATTTCTGTTGTGCAACCGTTCGTTTGCTTCGCCATTTCATTCAAAATACGGGCTTTCATCAACATTTCTTTTGTATTTCTTAGGTTACGAACGCGCAGCTAGAAGCTTTGCGAATTGAAAACAGACATTTGCGCGACACTGCACTTAATGATCAGTTAACGGTGAGTCAACAATGTTTTCTTACATGTAAACCGGGAATTTCTTTAAATCCTTTCTCTGAATTGTCATTTATTAAATGTAGACAAGTGTAATACAGACTCATTCAAATATTCAAACCGTATGATGCGATCGTTGCATTTGGTTGTTCTAGGATTTATCTGACCTTTACAGTGGCAATCTGCAGCTCATTGGCCAACTTGAGGTGAGATAATTTGGTTTTATCTTAATTAATCACCGTTAACTCAAACCAGTTTCCCTGTATCTCGTCCAAATACACCGAGCGTAGACCATTGAAACCTCCGTGGCTACTCCTCTCTCCCGTTTTTGTGTTTAGGACGATAACAGAAACTTACGTACAGAGGTAGCCACGCTCCGCGAAGAGCTTACAACTTTGGAGGCTAAATATCAAGACAAGTATCGGAACGCTTTGAAAAAGAATCAAGATGTACTGGCGGACATCAAGGATAACGAGTTCAGGTGAGCAAGACTTTCTGTGGTAAGAGTAATAGCATGTGCTGAGTAAGGTCATTGGTTGAAAGGAAACGGTGTGTAGCATGAAATTTTGCGGGTTTTTTTTTTTTGCGGATGTTGCAACCCGCACAGATAAGTTCCTGGAGAAAGGAAAAAATCACGCCGCATAAATTCGCTTCTCTCAGCCACGCTAATTAAATGTCAACTCGTAATCTTCGTGGTTAGAATTGTCTCGCGAAACAATGCTGTTCTTTTTGTAACAAGACTTGGTTTGTTTGTGCGAGAAAGGGATAAGTAAGAGCGGACGAGGTGACATGGCAACGAAAAGATGAACATCGCACAATTGCAGTCTTTTCACTTAAGTGTCTCATTTGCTATGTAGCTAATCAGATAGTAGGTTTGCCAGAAAGTGCCAAGTGTATAGTAACTCCATTTTTCTTTCTAACAGACGCCATAGCGAGCTGCAGTCAGAGTCTGAGCGTAAAGTGGCATCTTTAGAGGGTCGCCTTGAAGCTACGATAAGAAAATATGAAACGCAACTACACAGTTTGCAAATGGAAAACGAACGACTGAAAAGTGAGGCATCGGAGCATCGAGACAGTGGTAACGATTTCTTTTCAAATAAACTTCATTATGTTGAAAACCTTTGCTTGATTTATGAAGGCACGTTTTGTTGCTTATGTCGTCCTGTGCTATTGGCTTTGCTTCCATGGGAAAAAAGTGTAGAAATAACCCATGTGCTTACTGCTTATCCTCTCTTCCTCTAGTTTCTACTCTCAGTTCATCTTAAAGATTTGTTTGGCACTTGTGAATGGTCCTTAATTCAATCCCTTCAGGTGTACCACATCCTTTAATGTCCTCAACCAGCAAGGTCCTCCCTGAATATGTCCCTAGAAGGCCCGTTGATTTAAGTCACACTAGCACCACAAGCGGTTACACAGACACCGAAGCGTTGACGTACGCTGACCTGACTGCAGGCCCAGGTCCTTCAGATACCGAGGTATTTAAGGAAAAATGAATTATGGGAATTAAACAGAGAGTGAAAATTGTAAACGGTTTTTATTTTTTCGTAAAGGATAGTTTATTTAAAAATTCAGCGTGCTTTTTATTCTGGCCACCTTCCTTTATTCTGTGGTCATTCTTAAATGATTGCTAGAAAATTTAGTCAGGCTGTTTTTTAATCCTTCAATTAACTGTTAAGATATGTTTTGTAATTCTACCCCAGACTGATAGTTATTTCCCTGTAAATAAGTTAGGAGAATTTAATGTTTTATCAGGGTAATGCCTTCTAACTAACGAGTTCGTCTATTCCTCCAAACGTTTTGCTAGATTCTCTATGGATGTTGAATTTGAATCTGTGAATTTTCATGTCGATCACTTCTCGTGGCCATCAAGGCTTGATAACGTACGAGTCCTGCACGCAAAATTCAGCTCATTCTATTTTTTCATTGTTCGCTTGTCATCTTTTTCCCTCAGCGTGCGGCCACCCCGGTTGGTGCCAGGCGATCCTCTATTACATCGGATTTCTTGGCGGAGGAAAATCGGCGGGAGAAAGAACTGGAACGAATTCTGGACAGACGAATAGCAGACTTGAAAACAAACACAGAATATATTCTACAGAAATACACGTGACAGTGGAAGGCATCGAGTCATCAGGTAGCTGTTCTAGGCTTCAAGAACGAAAAAGGGAAAAATTCTTGAGATGAATTTTTAGAAATGAGATGAGCATCAAACGTTTTGAGTTTTCCATGAAAAGGGAGTTACACGGATTGAATGAAGAAAAAGGAAAAAAATCAGCGTTGTCTGGATGTGTTTCATGCACCGCTTTGGAGATTCAAAAACGCTCACTTTCGAAATGAAGTTGTGTGCAAATTGTTTTGTTTTTCTTTTTCCTTCGTAATAACCTAATCCATCGCAAGATTATCCCTCAGCATTTCATAAGGCTTCCCCAACAGTTAGCCAGTACCCATTTATACTCCTGGGTGGAGAGAGGCACTTTAATAGGAAAGTGTTGTGCCCAAGAACACAACACGGTGAACCGGCCAGGTCTCGAACCCAGACCTCTCGACCCGGAGTCCACTGCGTCTCCTAGTGAAATTGTTTAGCCTGCAGTTATGGTTTCTCGTTCGTTTACTTAACCTCTAAAATTCCAAGCCAGATTTTCTAGGAAGATAGCCGAGCACTCTGCTCTTTCCAAAATGGGTTTTTTTCGACAAATGAAAAATTGCGTGTAACATATTTGGTCCAGTCCTAAGAGAACCCCAATAATCTGATCAGGTTTCTTCCATTGAAGTTTTACACAATTTCACCAATGCCAGTCCAGAAAATCTTGGCCTATGTTAAGATAATTCGCATCAGCTGATAGTTTCTCAATTCTCCTAACCTGTTTGCTTGTTAATGTATACATATTGCAAGGAGAAGATACATGTTCATCTCTTTAGGGAGGCAAAGGGATAGAGATATGTTTGGAATGGCTCAGACGGGGATGCAAAAATAATCATATCAACGAGAGTTCATTTTTCGCCACTGCATTCAACTTCTTTAATGATTTCTCTTTGCGGAAGTGTTTGTCATATACATACATAGCATGAAAAAATTAATATATTTCTAGGTTTAAAGATATTTTTTAAGTTATTTTTTTCATCATTTGTGCAGTTTCTAGGCATTTTTAGTCAAGTTCTAGGTTTCTCTTTATTTATTTATCTATTCATCCCCCAGTTTAGCTTGTTGTGACCGCTGTTTCTGAGTAGTTCCTGCTTTGCGGTGCGAAAAGTCATGCGCCTCACTCACAGAGTTCCGCAGGACGCGCTGAGGCCATTTTTTCCACTTTTTTTTCTGACTCGCTTGACGGACTTTGCCGGAAATTAGGGACGGCTCGTAGTCTACTAGCTTTCTACTTGTAGCTTCTAATGCTCTATCTCGTATCCATTTTCTGGCAACAAGTTGTAGTGTTTTCGTATTGGTGATTAATTTATTCTTGACTGAAAAGTTTGTTTTAATTCTGACTATGGTACGCCATACGTCATTAAATAACTGCGGTTTTTTAGTCAGCAGCATTAAAATTTCCGAATCTTTGAAAATGATCTCATCGAGGTCTCATCATGACGGAACGGAATATGAGGTGGAATTAAAACCTTTAACTCCCAAGATCTGATTGTTGATTCTCCCCTCTATTTGTTACAGATTTCCTTAAAATTTAGTAACGTGAATTTGGTGCTAGATCAAGATAACAAATTTTAGCTGATAATTATCTGTTTGCAGGATTATGTAAGAATATTAATGGAGAAGCTTGCATGTCAATCGCTTCTGGGAGTTGAAGTGTTAATTGACAACACGAAAACTTTAAGTATCTGGGCATTCTTAAATGAGAATAAACGAATAGAGATATGGCTGTGGTCTACTTATTGTTTTAGCTGTAGGATTACTAAGTCCAACCCAACTGTGATGATGACTTTCCCCTACGTTGCTCAAACGTCAGCACCACCACCGACGATAGTCCCTCTAAGGACTGCCCTCATCCGGATGATCAGATTACACGATCAAATGTACCCCCTCCCCGGTTGAATAATCTATCGTTTATATTTATGACTTTTTTTAATAATGGGCAGCCAGCGTTAATGTAATTTTTCCTTCCTTTGTTATCGACGGTAATAAATTCGTTTATTATCGTTTCTTCGTTTATTCTTTACTTCTTTTAATCATGGAAAACACCCTTTGTTTGTATAGATACAAAACGACTCAGCTGACTGGGTTCGACCTCGCTAAGTACGAAACGATTGATAATCAAACTTTCAGCTTCTCTTATTTCCTATGTTAGCCCTATAAAATGCCCTTTTTAATTTATTCCTCCAGAACTTGTCGATTACCGTGTTAAACCGACCTAGATGTCGCCCATATCACCATGTTTTCGTGCACGCAAAGTCCACCTTGTTTTTTCTGCTGAGGAACATTGAGCGATAAACTTGTTCTTGAGATTAAATGCATGTAAACAACCCAAAGGTTTCCAGGAAAAAAACTGCTGGCCCATTTGATTTTTTTTTCTTTCAGTTTTTGGAAAACATTATCCGATATTGAATCAATATAATGAGAACTGACTTTGAATTTTGTCTTCTGCTTTCTCTGTCGGTTTTAGAATTCAGTGTTAACCTTTGTACTGGAATAATTTTGATATTAATTTTCTCTCCAAATTAGAGAAACTAAAAGCGACGATGTCTTACGTGATTTCAATATATATCTCTTCTAATAATCACGAAAACACTCTAAATACCCTTTTTACGCTCTCCTCGAAATTATTCATTTATCAAAGTCAGTCCAATTTTAACCGAGATTAGAAAAAGTATTACTCAGCGTAAATTACATATCACGTGAACATTCGGGGAAAAATAAAGCTGCGTTTGTTTGATTTCCGTCCATTCGAACGAAGTCATTATGTGAAATAAAAATTGCATCATTAGCTGGGTTTCAAAGGTTAAATTTCTGCCGATAAACTTTGGGGGGTCTGGTGGGGCAAGATAAGACGCGTGCCGCGTTCCGAGAAATGTTGAATTTCCGTATCTGCCCACGTGCTTTTCTGATGCAAGAAACAGTTAATTTTATGGCGGTCACGAAAGCTAATTTTACTTTTTATTAAGATGAATTATTTCCCCCCAAACGTTAAATTTTTCAGAACGTGTTGATACGGAAATACATCAATCCAGAATTGACGAAATACGAGGGTTTCTCATTCATTTAACTCCTATAAAGGTGGAATTTCTGGCATAGATCGTTTTCCTGTTAATTCATTTTTTATTCAAAAATTTAAGAATTATTGTTCTCGATAATGATTCAACTTTCAATTGAATTTTACGATCACGAGAACTGATTTTATTTTAAAATATTGCGAATTATTTTTCCTCCGGCGTTTAATTTTGGGGAACGTGTTCATGTATACGTTAACCCCGACCAAGGCCAAACTTTATCTCTTTTCATCTTTTTTTTTGCAACTTTTCCTCTTTTACTTTTTCTTAAATTTTCTAAAAGGAACGTTTTTCTCCTAATTTTTTAATTCAAAATTAAAGAGTTATTGTTTTTGATCATGATATAAGGCTGAAGCAATATACTGCCCTCGCTGAATTAGTAGTGATTATTGGCGTTAATGTAAAACTGCACTTACTCGAACTATGCGGAAATACAACCCACAATATTTCAATTGCACATCATTATCTTTTTATTCAAAGCATAATTTTTTCGAATAGAATTTCTTCGATGATGCAGCTCGAATAAAAGCTCGAACGGAAAATCAGGGATGGGTTGAAAGTTTTTGAGGGCATTATGCCGAAAAAGGTTTTTACGAATCAGGGAGAGTTGCTTTTTTCGCTGACTGATTTCATTTCGTGACAGACTCTATGAATAATTTATTGCCTAAGGGATCTTATTACGAAGGTTTTTTTTTTCTTTCTTTTTTTTTTTTTTTTTTTGACATCATGATTCAAAATAGTCCGCGATTCAGGGAAAACCCCAGTCAGGAGATAGCTATTCTGGAACTTTCGCCTCTCCGCGTTCTATATCTAGGCCTCCATGTAACATACATGGGTTTGCATTATACGAGAAGCCCAGGCTTTTTCAAAATTATACTTGTTTATTTCTTTCATAGCTTAAGGGCAGCGCCAACTGAAGCGCTGTGTTGTTTACGTCACAAGCAAAGCCTGTCAGAGCAGGTACTGTTTGCATGCGAAGTCCGCCAGATTTTTTTGTGAATCCACAGTGAGCAAGAAAGTATCGAGCCAAAGATACGAAATTACATGTCACACTGTATTTACCTACGGTCACATGAAAAACTCATGAGCGTCGTTCTCGAGAAGGGCGAATGTTATTTCAAACAATAGAGCTTGCCTGTCATTCGTCAATTGATCATACCATATTTTTAGCCAATGGCAGGGTGTTTCTAACGCTGGGTGTTCGTTACGTCATATGTTATCTAGGGTTTCCATATGGTTAGCGCTAAGGAAAAATTTTGCTTTACCTGATATTTGCTCGGTTGGGGAAAAGTGCTTGCTGTGGGAGAGCGGTGAACAACATCACATCGTCAGGCCTTGAAGCTCTCTTTTTAAAGGAACTTTACGATTAATCGACATCATGGGAAAGAATACGAAAGAAAGCAAAGAAATCGAAAAAGTTCAAGTGCAAATACAGGTCCAATCCGTACCGGATGGCGGTTGGGGATGGAGCGTTTGTCTTGCCGGTTTCATCGCTCAGTTCGTCGTGTTAGGAATACAGAACAACACCGGTATTCTTTACAAGGCACTGTTAGAGGAATTCAAGCAAAGCAAAGGAGAAACAGGTACAGTGTGGCAATTATGTTTAATATGACTTCAATCCTCAATCTTTAAACGATCGGTAAGTCTCTTATCGTTGTGAACACGCTGTTGAGAGCTCTTGTTCCGTTCGAAATGTCATCTGAATTGTGGTTGTTATTTAAATAACAAGAAACAGTTGAAAATCAGATGTGTAGTCAGTTCCTTCGTCATAAATTTGCCGGATTTTACCCCATCGTTCTATGCTGATGCGATTTCGCTGAAGAGGAAAAATTATTTGCGACACTGGACGAATTTTTTTTGGAAGGAACCGCGAAATTACCGGATATGTCAAACCGGCCAATAACTTCTTTGCTTTGAATCAACAACGCCGTCCGTAGTGTTTCTCTTTAACAGTTTAAATATATTCGAAAGTTAAACTATCCGTTGTGAATAGAAGGAGATGGCATCTTGCGGTATTAGCTGTCATCGGCAGAGTTGAGTTGCGAACGAGAGCGAAAATCTTACGCGCAATGGTTCGATGTCAGAAATTTAGCCATCTGCTGTTGATTAGATTATCCAGTACTCTAATGGGACCGTATTTGATTTTTTCTGCTTGTAAAATCTCTAGTGGTTCAAGGACGATACGAAAGGAGAGAGATTATGTGGTAAAAAAAGTTGCGTTTGTTAACAAACTTGAGAGCAAATAATTACCGGAAGTGAATTTGCAAAGCCAAGGTTAGCGTTATGCAAATTTTAATTGAGGGCTGAAGAAAGGTTGAAATTTTTGCCCATTCCAGTTGCAAAAAATATTGTGAGAGCTCGTTGTGATTGCTGGTTACGTCTGCACCATTTTACGCTTTCTGTATACTCCTTTCGTTCTTGCGACATCTAATCTGCAGTTTCCGATTCCTACCGATATGAATAACGCTCGCGGGTCTTTTGAGCTATCAAAACACTGTGAATTACCTATTTTTGTACAATTTGCGTTGTCGGCTCGCTGTTGTATAACGCACTGCAGAACAACTTCTACCCTTGCTGTGAATAAGAGGGGAGTCCCTCTTTGACCTAAAACACCGTTTATTTGCGATTTTCTGTCAGAGGTAAATACGGTTTGTTAATACCCTGTTTTCTCTGACCTTATCCCAAGGCCAGATAGAACTTTGCATATCGGACTTCAAAACAAAGCACTGTTAACAACATTCACTATCTTGGCTGGTGCTTTTTCCCGTTTCTTGCGTATTGGCCACAGAATAAAATAATTTCTCGGTCTGTTAGAAAATAATTCTGTTCCCTACCTGGTTTTACACCTTCACATTTTCGGATTTTGGTTAAAGGTGTGGGTTTTGGTTTGTTATATAACCTGCACGCGTCGAGAGTCGAAAACAGCCCCTGATTTGCATGTAACAATAACAACTCCAGGTTTTATTATCAAATGCAAATCTTGACAGTTTTTTGACAACATTTGGCTTATGTTTTTAGCAAAGTTAACGATCGATTATTCTAAAGCTAAATTATTCTCAGTAATCCAAGTTTCTTAAAGCTCGCAAAATGTTCTTTGCACTTGCGATAATGCAACGATATCTTTGCAACTTGCGCTTTTTAAAGAAATCTTATAAAGCTTTGTTCCTTCAGCCAATGGCAACGTAGGACCACTTGATGTACATTTGTACCTTAAGATGCATTTGTCATTTGTCAGAACAACAGATGTATTTATATAGACAAACCACTCATGCAATATAAATTCTAGAAACTTGTGTAACCTTGCCGCTTTTTGCAGGAGACTTCGTAATGATGTTATGTTAGAACACATGTCGAAATATTTGTTTTTCCGCAAGCTCCAAAGTCAATTGCATGCACCAATCAATCAATCTTGTTTTGTTTTGCGTTTTGGGCGAGTGCAGAGTATTAATGAATATCAAAAACAAGATTCGTCTGTTTAAGCAGGCGGATTAACTCTTAAAAAGGAAGCTCTCTTCATTTTTGTGTATATTTCTCGAGCGCGAGACGAACTCAGCTCCGAGGTATCTTAGCAGCTTTTTCTGTCTCATCAATCACACTGTTCGTATGGGTACCCTATGGTTGAACATAATCCAGCAAGCGTTGGAGGCGGGGCAGGGGTATATTTGCCAAGATCGGTTAGGAGAATTCAGCTTTTGACCAAAATAACAAACTACAGCACTCCTCTCAAATCTTAGCTTGTCAGCTGAACGATTTATCGCTGTCACGTCTGGGATTTTGAGGTTTAACTTGCGAGAGGATCGGACGATATTTTAAAAAAAATAATAACCTGTGATAAAGCGTCTTGACATTTAAGGTTACCTCCCACCTTCAGAGGCCAAAGAAATCAATTTTTTCTTTTACTTGACTAAACTGACGTCTTTATAAAAATATTTTCTAATATCTTTAAAAGCGCCCGAGTTATTTAGGAAAACGTATTTTCAAATAAGAGTTAATAAATCAGGAATCCACAAGAGGATTTTTCGCGGTAACCGCTCATCTTGGGGCTCGTTACAAATCGTAATTTTTAAATATGTCTGTCGATCTGTTAACACATTTCTGGTTTTTCCATTTTTGGCGCGGTTTTTCCTTCTTTGGCAACTTTGCCTATTATTGTGTCGTCCTCCTCAACGCTCCACGGAGCGATCGAGAGTTACTGCAATGGGGTAATTACTTTACCCTGGAAATCTTGAGCCATCGTCATTGACACCAGGAAGTTCCGTTGTCCTATTGGTTTGCGGTTTTAGGAGGCGAGATAATCTCCTGGCGTGGCGTGAGTTGATTGCGAACATTTATGAGCTAAAATCTCGCACTTGATTTTGGGAAGAATACAACCACTTTGAGCGAATTTATAGGGTTTATAGATTTAACCGATTTTCTTCAAATTCCGCCGAAACATTCTAGGAATAATGAAAAACGAAAGTGTGTCGGGAAATTATGTTATTTGAAATATTCGTCCCGTGGTGTCCATTTACGCAACACGTCTCGCATGTTTTTAGCTACTGCAACTTTAGATGCCGATATCTAGATAACCAATCAGAATATCGAAAAAGCCTGATTAATTGATTGATGCCTTGTGAATAAGACTGTTCAGCTAGTTTTGCTCGTGCTGCGGCATCTGATACCCTATAAATTCAATAGAAGAACCCTCAGGCATTTCACGCCTAACCGGCCCCTGACTCTTCCTTAAAGGAAAAGTCGCTTAAATTTTATCTTAATCATAAATTACCGTTAGTAAGCTTTCCTCCGACGTATAGTTTGCTAGGATTTTAGTGAAACTAGCGCGCGTACGAATTTTTACCCCGAAGGACACCCGCGAAGGAGGGAAGTAATCTTAACAGAGCGCTTCTAATAAGTTGTACCGGAAAACGGTGCCTTTAATGTAAGATATCCTTACAAGAAAAAAGAGAATGAGAAAACTTGAGTGGCATACCCTCCGTCGAGTTTGTACTGATGCGTTGAGTGACGCCTAAGGAAGCCCTTTCACACATGTGAACCGAAAAGCTTTTGTTTCATCGGCTATTGCGGCCTTATCTCAGCAAGATTTCATATCTTTCAGCAGTAGCATTGGCTATAGCGCGTTAGAATAGTAAAACTTTTAATGACAAATTGATTACAGTAGTTTTAAAACAGTAAAACTAACTACAGCAACCTACGGTGGACTGGCATTCATTTAGGAGGACAAAGCCACACTCTTGTAGTTTTATGCTGTGGAAACCGGGATTAACTCCGGCTGCATGTATCACTAGGCTCGAAACAGAATTAACCTCCTACTATCATTTTGCAATCCTTGTCAATCATCGTTACCTCAAGCCTTACTCCGCCCTAAGAATGACTAGTATCTAATTTCTCCTAACACTGTTCCCACTGAGTTGACACTGATGTCTTGAAAATCAAGGAGATGATCCAAAACTAAAGAAGCTCCTGATTGTTGACCAAATTCTCTTAGCTGGTGCCCACAGAAATGTATAGAGAACAGTATAGCGAATATACATAATGATGTTTCTTTATTCTTATTTATTTCGTGTGTGAGGAACTCCAGCAATCTATTCGCATATTTCAGTCGATACATTTCCCTTGACTCTCAAGATTTCCTTAGTAACCATGAAAAAGCTTCTTAGGGATTGGTTTTTAATCTCGTGAGGCAAACTTTATCCGTGACCACTTCAAACCAGTCCGTTGTCGCCTTTAATCTTCTCGTCATTAGTGGTTAAAGCCACGCAATTTGCTGTTTCTTAATCTTAAATTGCTTTCAATCCATTTTCTTTCTCGAGAGTTCCGTTTTGATGTTTTGATTCTGTCATGAATTTCCGTAGAAACAAGCGAGGATTGTTTACAAAGCAACTCCCCTGGTCGTCTAATTAGGAAATTTGAGCACGTACGAGATTCGTTGATTGGACTAGTCATAAATTTCCGTAGAGACAAGCGAAATTCGTTGATTGGATAAGTCATGAATTTCCTTAGAGGTAAACGAGGGTTGTTTACAAAGCAGCTCCCCTTTTAGTCTTATGAGGGAATTTGAGCACGTACGAAATTCGAAGGTACTTTCCTAGCGCTTAAATCCACATTTTACCTTACTTGTTTTGTGTGGGATATGTTAAAATCTTTGCCATTATCGAATCAAGAAGTTGAAACCAAAGGAAAAAAAATAAATTTGCGCCATGAATTTTATATAAAATTTCGTGATCGTGTAGCAATGTGAATCTCCTTGATTTGGAAACCACTTCGGGAAAGAAATAAACAAACACTTTCAATGATTCACATCGCTTTCCGCTCTTCTCTCACTCACGATGCACGTAATCGCCTGCGCTACCAATGGAAATGCACCTAGCCCCGGTGTAGCCGTGTAACTGTACCCTCCCCCCCCATCCTTCCGTTTTTCCTTGGTGGGGGGAGGGTGTGGGTACACGTAGGCTAAAATGCACCAGGAATAGTGCTTGCTTTTGTAAAGAAAGATCTAGTTTACGGTTTCTTAGTTAAACCTAAAATGAAACATACTCATATTCTTTTGGCGTTATTAGATACTTATAAAAATTTTTTGAACTTTTCATTACTGGGAATGAAATAAAATTATCCATCGGTCGGCAGTCTGATATTCAGACGTCACGCCTCCTTTAAAATTGTTGAGTGACCACACAAACAACGAATTTGGTGGAACAAAAACTAATTTTCATTTGCACAAGCTGTTCGATTTATTATTCTTAATGCCCTTTGTTCCATAAGGAGCCCTGTGAAATTTGCCAATTTTAATTCACTTCTTTTTTATTGTTATTATTATTTGCAGCGTGGGTTCTTTCAATCGGCTTGGGCATGATGTTTCTCTTTGCGCCAGTGACGTCAGCTTTCTGTGAACGCGTTGGTTGTCGGGTAGTAGCATTCGTTGGTGGTTTGCTAGGAGTGCTGGGATTTGTGTTATCCTCGTTTGTCAACGACATTCCTAAACTTTACCTGACGTTTGGAGTCCTGTGGGGGATTGGTGCGAGCATGAGCTATTTGCCAACCCTTCGGTCGCTTCCGTATTGGTTTGAAAGGTAAATTATTAAAATTTATGAGAACTACTTTCTTTCATCGATGATGGTCGGCGGCCAAACACCATTTTTCAGTTGATAGATAATCGGCTAAACTTTGGCCGATTATCTATCAACTGAATATACGTTACTAATAGAAATTTAATGCTCTTAAAGTTGTTTTGAAATACTTTTGTTCATACTTTTCTTTCAGGCGCATAAGTCTGGCAAATGGAATTGTTACGGCCGGGAGTGGCGTAGGTACGATTGCTATGGGTCCCATCATGCAGCTCGTCGTGAACAATTTAGGATGGGCTAATGCGGCAAGGGTGCTCGGTGGAGTTTTGTGTATATGTACCATCGGTTCTCTGCTTTACAGAGTTCCCAGTCAAACTGAGCATAAGGATGAGAAAGCAGAAGAAGCCGCCAAACCCTCAAGACCGCCTTTGTTTGACTTTACTGTCTTCAAGAACAAAGCCTTCTTGGTCTGGTGCATAGCTTTGAGCGCATTTATGATGGGATATTTTGTTCCTTTTGTGCATTTGGTAAGTCAAATGCGTAGGAAATGTATTGTGCACGCTATACGCACCTGTCTTTTACGACAAATTTGCATAACCGCGGGCATGGACTTGATCCGCCCCAGCCCTTTATCTTCCCTTGGTTTTGGAAGATATTTTTCCTCTGTGTTTTATCACTTTCTCCACATTCAGGAGGTTAACCTTGTGAATGCCAACTTGACTTTGGCAGAACGCAGTGTCTGCAGGCTGCCATTTTCTACATCTTTTGTGAACCCTTAAACTCCTAGGAGTAAGAAACACTTAATTTCTGCTCACATTATCACCCCTGAGTCAAACATCAAGGTCACGAGAATACAGGAAATGATCTAAAGAAGGTCTTGATTGTAAAACAAATTCTCTTTGTCAGCATCCTAGACAATGTATAGAGAACAGTATGGAGAATATGCACACTGATGTTAGGGTGTAAGGGGTTAACATTCTCTTGCGAGAAAGTGGGAGATTCTGGTCCACCGCTTTGGTTAACTAAGCAAACGAGAGCAGTTGCCTTTTTTTTTTTTTTCCTTTTACTGTTTGTTTAATTTGGGGATGAAGCAAGGAGATGTCTGCTCATTAGTCAGTCTTGAGAATCCATCATTAAACACTGATTTATCTTTCTTACTCGCACAGCCGGCGTACGCCGAAGAATGTGGTATACCAAACTCGCAGTCTTCCACGCTGGTTGGCATGATGTCAGTAGGCTCGACTTTTGGTCGGCTTCTTTTCGGAAAACTCGGAGATCACCCGAGAGTGAACCGACTATACTGTTTCCAGATGGCGATGCTACTCATTGGGGTTGCCGATACGTTGAGTACGCTGACCAAATCTTACGCCGGCCTGGTTGTGTACATGTTAGTCTTTGGTGTGTTTGATGGTTGTTTTGTAGTCTTTTTGGCTGTTCTTTGCGCGGACATTGTCGGAGTGGACAAGGTTGCTGCTGGAATTGGCATTCAATTCTTCTTCATGGCCATAACGTCTATTGCTGGTCCTCCTTTAGCAGGTAATTAATCCCATCATCTCACTCTTAAGTTACTTTTGGACCCGTTCTCATCTGCAGAAGATCTTAAGTAATTCCCGCTGAACGCATGGCCACTGATTTAATTTGCGCCTTCACTCTTTGTTCTCAGCGGGTATCTTTATGATAATTAACCACTATCGTAACAAAGCATAAATCATCTTCCCTGTAAGAAAAATTGGAGTCTCGTATTTTTCATGGCATTTGACTTCCACTGATTTCACGTATTGGTTAAGTACGGGTCCTCCAGTCGAGGGACTCGGTCGGAACCTCGAAAAATGTCCCATAAATGGAGCTGACCCTTGGATGAAGGTTGTCGATACAAAAGTTACAGGCACATTTGTTTTCGACGGGACAAAACTTTCGCTTAAATGTAGGTGCTTTTTTTAAGAGAGTTTCTAATGTCCTTTTTAAGATTATTTATTCTTAATCGTATTTTTTATCCCAGGCGTTATTTACGATCTCGCGCAGTCCTATCAGATCGCCTTTTACGTTGCTGGCGCCTGCTCCACTGTTGCAACGTGTTTGTTATTTCTCGTGCCAGTCCTCATGCCCAAAGAAAGTTACGAAGGTAGCAGCGAAGAGCAACCGCTGGATGGTATCCGTTCACCAGACTCTCTTCCTACAACTTCCACAAAAGCCAGTCTCGGCTCGTGCAACAAACTGAATAGTAACTTGCATCTTACAGCGAGCCAATCTTACCTAAATCGGTACTGGGATATGCCAAAGAGAGCAAGCATGCGTGCGAGCATGGCAAGCCTTTTGTCGTTTTCGCCGCTGCAGCCGCCAAAAGAAGTCTTAGTTGTGGTAGAGAAGGTCTCTCAGGTTTGAGAACGAAGAAAATGGTTTGATTCAAAATGGCGCCCAGAACCCTCTCCCTTTAACGCTAAAGATAGCAGATAATTTCTGCCTGTGTGTTCCATCTTGTACTACGAGGTCAAGAACTTCCCGGTTAACGTTCATTGTATTTGAGCACCATTAACGTGTCACTCCCACAAACTTCTTGTGTCACGAAAGATGAGTCACGCAATATGGTACCGCTTCCGTCATTCATGCGAGAACACTCTTGGACTCGGCAAAGCAGCCACTCGGCAAAGGACGTTTAAAAATTATTATTTGAAAAAGGAATACGTAAGCCGATCATATTTATTTATTTCTCAGAAGCATAAGTTGCACAAAGAAAAAAAAACAACGTTAAGTGGATTAGCAAATTATTAGATTAGTTAAGAGTTCAGTGATTTTCGTTAAATATCCCATATTTAAGATGAAACTTCCTCCAGGCTCAACACAAAGGAGAAAAAACAGTTTTTTTTGTAAGCATGTAGTGGATTCCACATCGTAAATCGCAAAATTGTTTTGGAAAAAAAATTGTTTAAAAAACTAGAGGGCTTTTTTTTCTAAATTTTGATCCTGGTGGTGCCACTTGCACTTATTTAATACCGTTTTTAGTTCTGCGTTCATGCGAATTCTCAAAAGTAAAGCACAGTCACTTCGCAACACAAAACAGCAATTCTTCAAGACATTTTTAATCACGTTCATCCAATTTTTTGCCTGCGCTATGCTTATTATACAGTGAATTTCCTCAAACTGTTCATATTGAACCTTTCTTATTTAAAGTTCTCAGGCCTTTTACTATTTCTTAGCCATTTTTGTAGGCTTTTTATAAACTCTCTGGACAAGATGAGAATCTGAAGATTAATATATATATTTACATTGTTGTCATCTCTGAATTGCAACCGGAAATTTGGCTTGATTTCTGAAAGCAGTTTTGGTATGGACTCAGTTTAGTATTGTTGGGTCTGGACTTTCATAGCAAACACCAATGATTTGACAGGTGTGGAATTATATGTCATATTTATAAAGAATTGATATTTAACCAATCTTTACTACCAGAAAAAGTTAAGAAAAAAATCAAACAAAAAAGACAATTAGAAAAAAAAATATAACAGTTTAAATTCCACTAAATAAAAACAAAAATTAAAATATTCCATACATATACCTTGCGTTTGTTGAGGTTTTACAAACACTCTGTTTTAATTTTGTTTTAAGACACAGGCAGGAGGCTGGTAGTGCTCTACTGAAATTAAGTACTGGAATATTCCTATGAGTACATTGATCAAGAGTTGGTGTTAGCAGAGTCTATTTTGAACAAACTTTTGTTTTGTAGAGTTTGTAGCAAAAAATTTGAGTTTAACATGTAATTTAATATATTGCTGTTATGGCTGCATAAGTTTCACATGGCTTCGGTGATTTTGTAGGAGGGATTTTTATAGAGTTATTAAAGTTTTATGAATAAAGGAAAATTTTTAAATCCTTTTAAGCAAAGGTGTATCTGGGTATAAATTGTCCTGGGAAGAAATAAGTAACTGTTGGTTACCAGTTGGTGAGAGGAAGAACTGTTCTCTTAGAAGTTGTGTTAGCCTTTAGGATGTGTTCACCCTGACATCAGTATCCATACTCTTTGTACTCTTTTCTTTACATTTCCTTTGGTACTGACAAAGAGAATTTGTTTAAAAAGCAAAGCTTCTTAGGGTGGTGATCATTTCCTTTTTTCTCATGACCTTGACCCTTAAACCCCCAAGAGTGACAAGCATCTAATTTCTCCTTTCAGTATCACCCCCAAATCACACACAAAGATCACCAGAAAAAAGAAAATGATCACCAACCAAACAAGCTTTTGATTGTCAGACAAATCATTTGTCAAGCTACTTAACCCTTTAACCCCTCAGAGTGACTGACATCTAATTTCTCCTTATCATACCACCCCTGAATCATACATTAAGGTCATGAGAATAAAGGAAGTGCTCACCAACTAAGAAGCTCTTGATTGTTATACAAATTCTCCTTGTCAGCACCTTAGGAAATGTATTGAGAACAGAATGGAGAGTATGGCTACTGACTTTAGGGTGTAAAGGGTTAATGAATGATTCAGCAGTATTACTGTGGGGAAAAATTAGGTGCTGACCACTCTTCGAGTTTAAATAGTTAATAATTATACTGCGTCCTTAGAAATCATAACACCCTGATCCACTTCCTAGTAAGTAGCCACTCCCTAAAAAGTAACAGGAAGGCCTTTTTCTATATACCCAAAGCTAGAGTGAGAGCAAAACCCTTGACATCGAGAAAGGAATCTTTTTACCTGTCCCATGCTCCTAAACTCATTCTCACAAGAAAGGCTTTCCCTTGGTCTTTTTTTTTTTCGCAACAGAGGGTCTTTATAATTTGTAGGTGAATTAGTTTGTAAGAGCTAGCAATTTAAAAGCGACCCAACACTGTTTAACTACGAAGGAGTTGGGGAGAATGGTTACAGGGGAAATCGTAATAGACCTTGCCTTCCGTAGGTACCTTACATTACTTGCATAATGCTTTGACTGTTATTTGGCTTTCAGGATGCAGTTAATTTTGGTTCATTTTGTTTGTTTTGTTTTTCTATTTTATTTTTTTGCTCTGCTTCTATTTTTGTTTGGTCACATACTTTGTTTTCTTTACTTTTGTCCGTCGCTCACTACCTGGGTACAAATTCTTTCTCTCCCCAGCCTACCGCTGGTGTTAAAATCAAAGATGGCAGCTATGATTTATGCCGAGAAAATAGTGAGCATCTAGTCGCTATGATCTCTCTCGAGATCACCCCCTCATAGCTGACTCTTCGGCTCTGTTGTTAGCGTTCAAGTACTCTTAGTCGAAAGGTTGCTTTACTTCCAAGTTGTGTAGAAACAAGGTTTTTCAGTTTAATATATTTTATTAAAACATCTGTAAATTGATAGTGCTCATGATGTTGACTTCTCTCGCGTACATTCAGTGATAAAATAATGGACTCATCGAGGTCAATCATAACTGGGGCATTTCTCTCGGCATTTTGCAATCTCGGCCCTGCTATCCACAAAATTGTTAAAGTTGCTTTTTTTTTACAATTGAGCAGTTCACGCAATAATTTCTCCTAAACGTTGTAGTATTACAGCAAATGAACAATCTCTACGATCCTTCTTTAGTTCTGCAATAGTGTTTCACTAGTGATGAGGCTGATCTATTTTGATGTGTAAGATAGTCTTAAAAAAGCATAACTAGATATAGTTCCAATTCAATGATGGCATCAAAAAGTTGCGCCATATATGGTATTGTAATATACAGTTTGTAGTAAAATAAGTTGTATTATACAATCTTTCGTATTGAGCAGATACTTTACAATATCAGTACGTATAACAATCTATGGTAGACACAAGCAAAAAGTTTTTGAGGCAGTAGAGTTCCGATTTGTTATTTCTATGGCTGCTAATAGCCACGCTCTCTCTTCTTTAACCTGTAATTAAAGAAACACTTGAAGTTAAGGACTGGAAGCAAAGTGATCTCGATTTGCATTCACTGGTTTTGCTTCCAAATGTTTTGTGATTTGTCCAAAAAATTCAATCGCGCCTTCCTAAGAACCAATCCTCCCCCTTCCTCTCTCCCTCCTCTCAGGCGATAAATTTTTAACCGACCCTCAATTTCCAGTAATTCACTTACATTTTCCAGAAACAACAGCAACTGACCACAAGAATAATCAAAGCCACAGCGAGAACAGCCAAGGCTACAGCTGCCAAAAGGATTATCAAGTCTCGATCCTCCTCTACAAAAGAAATAATGCATGATAACAACATTTAAGTAAAAGAGAGAAGAGAGAAAAGTTTTCCCAGACACCTCACAAACCCTACAACCTTGTCCCCAGGTTTCCTCTTCTTCTCTGCACATTGGAACTTGTGAATCAGTCGAGAGCAAGAGGACATGGCAGCTCATATACTCTTAGAAAGACATATTTCATTTTTCTAGCTTCAACATAGTGAAAATCTGAGATCTCGAAACCGTTGCGATTATTTTAACAGTAAAGAAATCCTGGCCACCAAGATGTGGAGGTATGAAAATTTGTTTGATCTCATTTTTTCGATCATTTATCCATGAACTCGAAATAAACTACAGCCAAATGTTGCAGAGAAAGAGGCATCTTAAGTTATGAACTATGAGCGAGGAGAGCGCAAAGGGCGACCGACACTCGACTCACTCACAAATTAAATTTAAAAAGGTCATTTCTCATGGGTATGGTTAGATTCAATTATTTTTAAACGTACACTTAAGTATGGTATAATGAAAATTAAATCTACAGACAATATTCTCATAGAGAGAGGTGTGACTTCCAACCGTGCAGTTGTTCATCGAACTGAATGGTTGTTTTTGTTCCTTCGAAGCATTTAAAGAACATGCGGTCTCAGCTAACATGTGGTGGAATAATCTCGAAACATTTTCCGATTAGTTCCACTTGAGGTGTTAGTTGTTATTATTGACTCACGTCATAAGCTTCACATTCTTACCGAAAAAATGCCATAGAAATTTGCGAAAAAATTGTTTTAAATGACCTTGGAAAATCGAAGTGCGTTTGGTAATGAACACAAATTTGTTTTGAAATAGTGAAATTGGAAAGACGATCGTAATGCAAATGAATGAAAGTAAAGTTCTAATAATAATAACAACAACGTATGTCATGATATGAGCTGACTGGAAAGCCAAGGGAGTGAATAACTCGATCTGTTAACCAGGTGCTTGACTTGCCAACAGCCAATCAGTCAATCAATTTGTTAGCCAGTCAACAAGCCAACATGGTTCACCACTTCAGAAAAAAAATACTATTTATCTTAATGATTAAATAAATCAGCAAGCTGTTAAAATTGTCGGAATTTTTGTACCTGTTAACAGTATTTTTGGTAAACAAGTTAGCAGACTTCAGCATAATTCATTTTGAGCAACGGATAACAAGAAAAAAAATTTTAAGGAGAAATACAAGAGCGCAGCGAAGTTACATGTCACTGAATCGGTCGACACAAAGCAACAACTCGTTTCATTTCTCAGCAGTCTTCCTACCTGTGGCAGTTTTAGCGTAAACACTGGAGAAGAGGAGGAGGAGAAATGATATCAAACGAAATGTTTTTTCTGGTTTTGTCCTCATCTTGGAAACCTCCGCGAGTTTCTAAGTTAACAGCCAAAGTCTTTGAGTTAACTTGTTCGGTCACGAATTGACTGTAGCGTTTTAGTTATGCGCATATTTGAGTGTTTTGAAAGAATTTCCTTTGTGTTTTCTCTCAGGGGTCATGCCTCGTTTACGTGAGAATTTTTTATTCTTTATTGCACAGCAACTCACTAAAAAAAAACTCTTTTGGATATATGTTAGGATTGACCAAAAAATAATATCCATGGATTTTCATCAACCTGCCATCCAGTGAAAGTGCTCGGTAAAAGTATTCATCTGTGATATCAATATTAGCACAAAACTTCTAGAACAAATCATACGCGTGGGGTTCTGTTTGTTTTATTTATAAGAAGGAAAGGAAGACAGCGACTGGAAGAACCTCCATGATATTTTTGTGTAGCTCGAGACGTGAAGTTAAGATACAATACAATAAATCATTTCGACTAAAAACAATAATAACTATAGTGTATATTTATCTCATGGGTTTTCTGTTTTGATCCGAGAACATATTCAATTATTTAATTCTACTTTTCTGTTTTACCTTTTAATAAAAACTCTGAACGTTTATTTTTTCCTTCTGCTTGCTAGATATTCTTTTAAATTCGTAAAACATCCTGAAAATGACTGTGCTAACGTTTCACTTGGGCCATGTACCACACGACCTCTTGGGGGTGGGGTAAGGGGGCTTTAGCCTTCGGGCTCACCTCTGTTTCTGTGAACAACTGATTTAAAGTGTAATTCAGTGTTATCAACTGAGTTGAAAACGTAAATTTGCCACCGTAAAAAGTTTAAAGGCTGACGTTTCGAGCGTTCGCCCCTCGTCACAGCGATTGGATTTAAAGTGTGTTGTCTCCTCAATCCCCAGTTAGGCGATCCTAGTACAGGATTTGTAGCAATAGATCAGACCCTGGTTATGCTAATCTGTTGCGAATGGTACGTGAAAAGGGCCATTTCTTATGAGAACGCTCTAAACAGACAAAAAAAAGTAAAATTAGTAAATAAATTTTAAACAAATTTATAATCCCCAGTCTCCGCTCATTTTTCCTCGGTAACCACGCCTGGCTTTAACAAAACATGGCGGCTTAAGCGTCTGTGTTTTCCTGGTGTTATCATATATCATCACTGTCGGTTTCTTACAATACTTTCGTTGATACAAATGTCATTACACTACCACCCGCAACGATGTTATCGCCTACCGCTTTGAATATGTTTTCGCCGTCTCCAGCTAGTTCGGAAGAAATCGGCTCCTCGGCCCTGTTTCCATCGCTTGATACAGGCCTTTCAACTTCTGGCATGACTTCAGAAGAGATTGACGAGCAACCCGAAGGGGAAGAAAATGAATAGTAAGTTAAAAAAGTGTTATGCTTGTGTTTTTCGTGTTTTGTGAATGTTTTAGATTATGAATCGAGCCGCAAATCTCAAATTCAGAGGAATCGAGTTATAATGCTTGTCATATTTGTTCATCTGTTCATTTCTGGTGAAGACATACGAAAGTAAGCGGTCCCAGTCTTATCCACTCATCAATTTACAGGCTATAAATAATCGTACATAGTTACTAAAGTGCTAATGACAGCTAGGATGGTTTTGCTTTACTATTCGGAGAGAATTTACTTCAGTCAAAAGCTGAACACGATTATCTTAGAGAATAGCTCCGACCGAGCACTTACATTCGTCCAGAAAGCTTTGTAGGCTAGTGCCATTGTATCACCCATTTCCCAAGTTAATCAAAGGCCCATGGACTGAGGCACAGTCCATTGTGTAAATTTGTTGTAGATTTCGTGATGAAAATAACGTTAGTGGAACCACAGATTGTATTTACAATGTGTTTGAACCGTTTCTTGAAGATGTACAATTTAAAGAGAACTTGCAGCTAATGTTACTTTTCACTTTGAATAGTGCTGATGCTGCAGAATCCACCAAGGCAGAATTCATTGAAAAAACTCTGTTGAGAGCATCTGAAGTGAGCAAATTTGGAACTTTTTTGACCATTTTTATTTATACCTTTTATTAATGGCATAAATACTTTAGAAATCGTGAATTGGATCTTGCTCTTAACCCTTTAACTCCCATGATTGACCAAGACGAAATTTCTCCTGACCAAATCAATACAATATCAAACAGAGATGTGATGAGAATAAAGAAAAATACCAGTTAGGGGATTATTAATTGATTCAATACCAAATTCTCAGAACTAACATCATAAGAATTGTATGACAGACAGTAAGGAGAATTGCTAATGAGATCTTGGGAGTGAAAGGGTTAATCTCCCCCTCTTCTTTCTTTCACTCTTTGTCATCTGCTGACTACCAGCTTTGTGAATGCAACCCCATATCAATGAGTTTGAGACATTCTAAACAAACTCGATGCTGTCTTATTAAAGTCCTCAACATGTAAGGCATTTTGGTTCTATTACAACCTGTCTTAGCATATTTTTAACTGTTTGACCGTTGAAAGTGACCAGTGACCATCTACATGTAATTTCTCCTTACAATATTACCCACCAATCAAACATTAAGGTTGTGAGAATAAAGGAAATGATCAGCAGCTAAAGAAGCTGGTTTTTTCCTTGTCAGCTTCTTAAGAAATTAATGGAAAGCAGTGTAGAGAATTTACATACTGAATTGAATGTGTTAAGGGTTTAGAAGAACTCGCAATTTATGATAAATAGGGAAACTGTTAGAGAGACTTAACAAAAGTATCAGTTAGAGAACCTGACATTCACTGATTTCCTGCAGTTCAATATGCGTAGGTTCATTCATTGCAGTTGTTTCAAGCTGAAAAAGGTGACCAGAGCTCTTGGAAATGTGAATGAATGAAATCTTGTATATGATAAGTACTGCTATTATGATTTCAGCAAATTTTGCTTCAAAGTGGAGGAAAATTACATGTCAAAGATATTGCTGATAGAATTGTAGAAAGTGGGCTCATCCCACCCAGGTCAGTTCTTTGAACATGTGCTCTAAAGGCTATAATTATTACCTACAATGTATATGTACTACCTCTAAAACCATAAACATAATTTTCTCACCTGTGTATGTGTATAAATTATATATATATATATATATATATATATATATATATATATATATACCTATCTACAAAAAGGTTGCAATATTGAAAATATATATCAAATATATATACCTTTTCTTTGCTCATAAAAAGAGAAGAAAACAAAAGATATTTATATTATTTCAATACATATTTTCAATGTAAAAATGTTTTTTTTTAATGTACTCATACACTACTTGTAGAATTCAATTTTATGGTGATGGATTTGATGATGTCAGTTTTCAGAAGTTTTTATGTATATCAGTGTTCTAGAAACATGGTACCTCTGGCACTTATTTAAAATTTCAGCTAAAGGGGGGGTGCTTATTTTAAGGAGAGTGCTTAATAGAGAGAGGTCCTTGTTATTCACCAGTTCTGATTCCACTGTAGTTGAGGCTTAGAAGGCTATGAATAAAGTGGCAATAGAAACAGGTTTTTCTTGCATTCCTGTTATTTAAGAAAGTAAGGGGGGGTGTTAATTTGAGAGGGGCACTTGTTTGACACTATAGCTTAGGGGATGGGGGCTTATTTGGGGAAGAGTGCTCATCAGAGGGTGGGTGTTTATTCAAGGAAATACAATATTTAAAAAGTTTTAACACATTTTTTAACTTTCACGAACTGATGGTTTGTTTGATTAATTCCAGATCAAAGGCTTTGAACAGTCTAGAATCAATCTTGTATCGTGAGGCAAGTAAACTTCTTTCACTTATAACTTGTAGATCACAATGTAAGTAACTTTTTCTGGATTTGTGTAGTGAGAAATGGGATTTAATGTTTTAATCCATATGCACAATCTCTTTTTCTATTCATTGATTAGAATGAGTTTTCCCTTATAGACGTTTCGTGAAAGCTCCAGATTTAAAAGAATTGATAATCGCTTTGGATGGTTTGCCTTGATGGTGAGTTCTTTATTTTGTTAATAACATTAATATTGACTAATTATTCATTAACTCTTTAACTCCTGGAGTGACCAAGACAGAAATTTTCCTTAAAATATCAATACAATATTAAGCAGACAAGTCATGAGAATAAAAAAAAATATCAATGAGGGGTCTATCAGTTGTTCCAATATCAATTTGTGGTATAGAATAACTGACAAGTTGGGGTTAAACTGCAACAGTTGAGTCAGTCTCCTCTAACACTTAATATTCTGATAAACGAAATCACACAGGAAGTTGAGGTTGAAGATGATGATGATGATGAAGATGACGATGATTCTATGGATAATGAGACAACAGAGGGTGATGATCAGGTGACTGAGTTTGAAATAAAGCTGAGAGGCATCAGCAATCAACCATAATTACATGTATTTAACTTCCTTTATCTTGAGCTTGTGAGATTACCAAAAAAAAAAGAAAAAACCTAGCCTTTAGGCCAATAGGGATGAACATTTAATCAAGCTCTGCACTCACCAAGTTCAAGTGCAAGAAAAATCAAAGCCAAAGTTCATTCAGTTTTCCTTGCATCTATAACCAACCAAAGTTTTATGTACATGCAAAATTCAGTAATTCTTACTAACTAAACGGAGTTTGAGGTTAGAAGTGTAAGTTATGAACCCCTTTTTTTGCTTTGCAAATAAATTGATGCAGAAAAATGAAGTTGATAGATATTGTGCAAATTGTCAATTACAGGTTAACATTTCTGAGATTTGTCATTAAAAACTAC